ACCGAGACAGTGGAGAAGGAAGTCCGGGGTGGAACCTAGGTTGAATGAGTAATCGAAGACACCGATGTTTGATCCGAGAAAGGGATGATGGCATAAGATGTTGACTACCTTACTGGAGGGGATTTGCTGTACTTTCTTATTTCAACGTGATGAGCATCTTCGGGAAACCCCGCCCCGAAAGCGAAATTCGGCTATTCCGAGTAGGGCAAACTCAAAGTTTTCGATCGAAGCTTTGAGCCACAGGACGGCAAGGGCGCGGCGCGGGGGGGGATTAATTGTCCTCATACCTTGTTCAAGGAACAGCGAGATAAGTATCCAATGTCGGTCGCTAGAGTGAACAAACTCGGGCCGCAAGTAAGAGCCCGCGAGACCGTAGAGGATGTCTTCTATCCAATCATATCTCACCGAAAGCGATGTCTGCCGCTTGTATGTCACGACCTTGTGATAACCGTCCGTTTTTAACAGACTTACAGTCCGTAGAAAGTGATTGTCGGTGCCGCGGTGCCTGAGTTGCCCCTCAGAACTCGGCGCGAATGGCACGCAGCGGTTCGGCAGTGGGGCGCGGCACAGATCCGGCGCGGGGTTTCCTGCATGATGCAGGTTCAGGTTCAGGCCGGAGACCCTTTTAGTAGCGGGGGCGGGCTACGGCCGTGACAGGACAGGACAGATTGTGAATCTGGATTTTAACCAAGTAACCCAAGGTGACAATCACCGGTCCAATTGACAGCAATTTTCTTAGTTATTTTCTTTTCGTTCAGGGCCAAATGCCAACATGAGAGTCCTCATCATCGGCGCAGGTCTCGGCGGCCTCGCTTGCGCCATAGCCTGTAGAAGAGAGGGGTTCGAGGTGGTGGTTCTCGAGAGAGCGAATAGACTGGTCCCAGTGAGCTCACCGAAGTGCCATTCACGATTCCCACTCCCGCTTTCAGTGATACAATCGTTCATCTAATCTGACATTTATTCAGATCGGCGCAGGTCTCCAGCTCCCACCCAACGGGACCAGAATCGCAAGACAGCTGGGCTACCTCGACAAACTCCTCCAATGCGGGGTCGTCATCGACGGCATGGAGTATCGCAGGTACGCTGACGGCGCGCACCTGCACACCCTCTCAGCCAAGGACGCGCAGGCCCGGTACGGCGATCTCTGGATGGTTGTGCACCGGGCCGATTTGCACTATATCCTATGGCAGACGTGCAAGGAGATTGGCGTGGATCTGTGTCTTGATATGGATGTTGAAAGGATTGATTTCGACGAAAAGGTGGTGTATCTTGAGGACGGGGATGATATTGGCGGAGATGTGATTATTGGTGCTGACGGTGAGTAGGATGTGCAGGCTGGGACTTTGTTGTGTTTGCTGATGCTTGATGATAGGGCTTTGGTCTATCTGTCGTGATCAGCTTCTTGGGGCGGCTTCGCCGCCGGTTGAGACGGGGGATCTGGCATATCGCGCTACGTTTCCGTTTGACTACCTCAAAGCTCTTGATGATCCCCGCGTCGACGATCTTTGTGCGCGGAAGCAGGCTACGGTGTGGATGGGACCCGACAAGCACACCGTGTTCTACCCCGTCAGAGGAGGGCGGGAGTTCAACCTCGTGCTCATCAGGCCGGATAACATGGGACCGGGAGAGAAGCGTGTCCAAGGGGATATCGAAGAGATGAGAGAAAGCTATCGTGGATGGGACGAGACGTAAGTTTCTAGCAGTTTCGCAACCTGCCAGGTAAGATTTGACGCATTGCCTGTGGTTACTAATCTCTTCCTAGATTGACAAAGCTCATCTCGTTGATACCGAGAGTGCAGAAGTGGAAGCTATGCACGCACCCCGAATTGAAGACGTGGACCAAGGGCTGCTTCGCTCTCTTGGGCGACTCATGCCATCCAAGCCTCCCCTACCAAGCCCAAGGCGCAGCCATGGCTGTTGAAGATGGCGCTGTGATCGGGAAGCTTCTGGGCCTCTTGAAGAACTCCTTGGGGGTGGAAGACATGGTAGCACAGATCCCCGAGATCTTGAACCTGTACGAGACGCTTCGGAAAGACCGGACGACAGTGAATGTGCAGGGTGCGACCTCGAATCGGAAATGGTATCATGTTCGTGATGGACCGGAGCAGCAGGCTCGCGATGCGGAGATGACGGGCGCACTGTTGAGGGATGGGTTGTCGCCGACGGGGTGGCGGTTGATGGATGAGGATTATCGAATGGAGTTAATGGGGCGTGATTCGGTAGCAGAAGCCATTGAAGCGTTCAAAGAATGGGAGCAACGGAAAGCCTGACGTAATTTACGGGCGATGATTGATTAATGACTGATTCTATTCACAAAGCTGTTGAAGTGTGCCTCTCGATAACGCCGAATCTAAGTTAAGTAGAAAAAACCCTCCCAAACTGTCCATAATAATAATAATGCATCGTAAATCACTTTTCCCTCTCTTGCGATATGCTTTCATAATAGTGGCATCGTAAGTCATGATAGCTCAGGCATCTCTCGTGTATTCGGACTTTTGGCGCCAAGCGTGACCATATCTCATGATAAGCACCGGAATCGGCGCAAGGCAAATGCTGAAAGCACCCAGCATGGTGAACCCCCAACCATAACCGAAGGACTGCACCATGGGTCCGCTCGCAAGGGGTAGGAAAGTGCCAGCCAGGCATCTCGTCACGATGACACCGGTCATGGCGGAAGCAGAGTACAAGCCTGTGGCGTCGACAACGTAGGCGGAGAGGGGAAGGGAGGCCATGAGGAGAGTGAAGCCGAGCATCGCTACCGACAGGAGAAGAAGGCCGACAGGGAGGTGGAGTTCCGCAATCCAACCGTATGCGGTGATGGAGAGGGGCAAGGTGAATGCGCCGATGATGACGAGCGGGAGGCGGTACTCGGGGCGTCCGACGGGGTCGTTTCCGCGAAGCTTCACATAGATCCTATCCAGGCTAAAGTTGCTGACGAGGACACTGATGAATGAACCGACACCTATGATTGTTAGAACACAAAGGCACCTTACAAAAGTTCAAAATAGGACTTACTAAAGGACATGAATGAGAGACCAGTGAGAGCAGGCGAGAAGCCATACACGTCCTGGAGGATGACGGGCAAGCTAATGGACATTACATAAAAGTAGGCGAATGTTATGCAACCAAAGAACGACAATCCCATCAGAACATTTGACCCGAGCAAAACATAGAAAGGCCGCTTGATCGACTCCCACAGCTTGATGAGACTCTTATGATCATCAACTCCGGCAGGGTGAAGCGGTGCCCCGTGCTCATCTGCATGCTTCGCGGCACGTCGTCTCAAGATGGTCATCTTATACGTTTCCCGGAAGCAGGTGAGAAACAAGATCTCACACACCGTCGCCAGACCGGCACTCATCCAGAGAACCTGCCTCCAGCCGAGGGTCTGCGCAATGGCGCCGCTAATCATCGGACCGACCGCGCCGCCGATGAGCGGAGCGAGAGATATCAAACTCATCGCCGAGCCGCGGTTGTCCGGGACGAACATGTCTCCAATGATGGCCGGGTTCAGCACATTCGAAGCGACCGCGAGACCGGTGAGGCAGCGGGCGCCGATGAGGAGCGGGGTGCTCGTGCTGATGGCGGCGAGGACGGTGGCGATTATGAAGAGGATGTTGGCGGCGTTCATGACGGGATAGCGTCCGTAGATCTCGGAAAGGGGCGCGATGAGGAGGGGGCCGGCGGCTTCACCGAGTTCCCAAATTGTGACGAGCAGGGCGCTCGCCGGTGAGTTTGTTCCTTCATTCTGGTCTAGATCTTGGATGATGTGGGCGGCTACAGGGACTACTGAGATGCAGGTGAAGGTGCTGTGGCATATGTCAGCTCAATTGTGGCCATGAGATGTTTGATGCAATACACATCGGGTTGGATGGTTGTCGTACACGGTGAACGCGGTGAGAGCCAGCAATGCGACCAGAGTCCACTTGAAAGGTGCGGGCCATTCCCTGGGGTTCTCAGGGTCGCCATTGGGATCAAAGTCTAGCAAGTGCTTCGAGATGTCTTCCTCGCAGATGGGGTCCTCGACCAGCAGAGGCTGCTCCTCGTCCATGTTTGGCATGTTGTCGGCCGGGGGTTCCAGTGACAGAATTGTATTAGGAACAGAAACGCAGCAAGTATGTTCAGTCAAAGAAAAAGTAACAATGAGCGGCGGCTACTACGTAGATGAAGGGGCCACTCGACTAAGGTAAGGCAGTAGGAGCCGGCTAACAGAGCGGCATGGCAAGCGCCTTTTGCGTGATTGCCCCACGCCCTTCGCCATAATTTTTTCTTCTTTCCTTCTGGCCCGTACGAAAATTTGAAAAGCCGGGGGGGTCGGGAAGGTGGCGACGGCGGGCCCGCTGCTTGCTGTCCGTCACACGTGACATCCGCTTATGTGCGACCGGCTATGGCATCCGAATATCTTTAATACCGTCGATTTGGAGTATTAGAGTAAGGTATCCTTGGTTCCATCTGGCTATCGATGGTGGTTTTATCTTTCATCTTCGCATTCCGCGAACGGGGAACACAACATCAATGAGGGGTCCAAATGGTCGATCTGAGGAAGCACGGGCATTAACTTCTGGATCTCGAGATTGACTCTTTTGATTGGTGATTGATAACCCCGTATCAGTCTTGATTCGGCCTAGGGCGGGGTCGGTACTCCGAGACTCTTCCTCCGGCCGGGCGGCGGTCTCGGTGAGCGCGAGGTCTAACTCACACACCCGCCTTAAGGCGCGAAAGACATCTTCGGAGACCGTGCTTCGTTACCCGTCCCTTCCATCTGAGAATTCACCGGATCCAAAGATTGATGGCCGCGGTGGAAAGATTCGATTATACTTGATACATGCAACAAGAGGACATAACATAATAAGCTAAGTATAGTAGGCATATTCTTCTCCGCTAATGCTGAAAATTGGCGTGGCTGGCTTTATGGTTAAACGCCATTCCCTCGGCGAAACCTAATGCCGCCAACCCGAAGTAGAACCAACAATGCGTTGGTGATTCGACTCTTAGTATGTCTAGAAACCCCCAAAGAGAACCTTCTGGTTCTGACCAAAAGTCATCCCAGACCAAGCATCCGTGAGTTTCCGCCAAATTCCATTGCTATCTTTGAAGCCATCTTTGTTCTCCAAGCTATCGGAACCTCCGTTCGTATTCTCGTCACCTTCGAGGTAACAAACCCGGGCATCAGTCTCGTCCTCATCGGCTACCTGGCTTTTAGCGTTCTTCCTTTCCAGAATGTCATCGACAGCAATCTCGAGAAGGCTGCCGATGAGAGCTTTGTGTTCTTGATCCTCCTTGAGCATGCTCTCGATGAACTCCCGTTCCTGTCTATCAAGGTCTTCTCGCTGGCGGCGGATGTCCTCAAGCTGAGCGGCAGCACGATCCTCCAAAACATTCTTCGTGAGCTCCATCGTCTTGATCTTCTCGTCGACCTCAAGAATCAGCTCCTCTAGCTGGAATGCACGCGTGAAGTCTTGCAGAGTCTCCGTCAGTTCTACTGCTGCTCGGAGCAGTCTGATGATTTCGCGGGCCGTCGTTGGCAATCTGTGGACGGCTGTGTGTCGTAGCTTATGGGTCGGCGCAAAAACCTGATAGATGGTCTTGTCCGTCATGGCGATAACCTGAGGGGGGAGCGCGAGGACCTCCGCGTTGAAGACCTTGATCCAATTCGTTAACTCGACGGCGGACGCACATTCCCAGCCTTTATCCTGGAGCACGTCGGGGAACCACTTCTTTGCGAAATCGAAGCAACATTCTTCGAGCAGCCTCTGGGAAGCCGTAAGAATAGCATGTTGAGTGGTGAATGGAAGATATGTTGGATAGAGAGAAGGGATCTTGGGATGTGTCTGAGATGGCGCTGTAGCGATTCAGAATTCGTCAGTGTCGACATATAACACGCTACAATCTGCAATATACCTTCGTCAATACCGTTCGTCTCAAGGGGTGTCTCAGAAGCGGCAGCGTCTTGTATTGGGAGTTCATCATCCGGGACCGGCACAGGCGGAACCTCCCAGCCCCACACTGGCTCCGCTGGCGTTGCTGGCTCTGCTGATTCCATGTCTTCGGGGTGGCTCATACCACCCAAGATGTCAGCAACCGACTTTGCTGCGTCGGCTTCAGATGCTTCTCTCTGTGCATCCTGTTGTGGGGTGGTCTGAAATAGCTCGGGGAACATAGCTTTGGCACGACGGTCCGATTCGAAAGCCCCGGCTTTGAGGAGAGACTGGATCATTGCGGTAAGCCTGATCTCGCCATATCTCCTGAATAGGTGATGCAAAGCGCTCTGGTTGTTAATGAGGGTTTGGCGAATCGCTGGCTTCTTCAGCTGTTTAGACCTTCCGCTGAATAGTGCTCGGCACATGCGGTAAACTTCTTGGTCCTCTGACATTGTCTGATCTGCGGGCAATCTTGATGATTGTAGGGTGAAAGGGGTTGAGTGGTTGAAAATGAGAGGTCAAGTAACTTTGGAAAGCCCCCAACACGGAAAATCGAGGCATTCTTGTACCTTTGTAGTCTTATCATCTTATGGCGTGCTGAGACACAGATGGTTGGCCTCCTGCAGCTTCCGTCTCAACGTGCGGTGTTCCAAAAGAAAATTATCAGGCCACGCTTTCTTTGGAAGTTAATCCAACTAAGAACCGGGGCCTTGCTGCAAAAACATGCCTATGGATCTTTCCCTGCTCGTTATTTTGGCTGAGAAAATGCGACCTGCTGCGCCATTGATGCCTGATGTAGGCAGTATGTCTGGCTTTTCACCAGCCTGAGAATGCACCTCTTTCGTTGGAAGGTACATGTGGGCGCTTAATACCTGTCGCCACCAACCAACGGTAAATGCAGGCCAAGAATGCGACGACATGTGGACCAATTATTCTCCTGGACTTGCATGACATGAAAAGTGAGGCTTTAAGGCTTTATCTACTTTCACCATGTCGAAGTCACATTTGTGGAGGTGTGTGTACCACCTGCAAGTCCACTTGGTGAATGACTTAGTGCTTGGCATCCTCTCGCCTGTCGAGCGTAAAAACCCCAGATCAAACAAGAACTGGCGATATTCATTGATCGTTGTGTGGACTTTTCTCCTTTATTGTCTACTTTATGGACTAAGGCAGAATGCATGTTTCAATGTCACAGAGACTATGAAGACGTGGAGAAATGAGGTGAATAGCCCAGAAGCTCGAACATAATGGGAGGGCTTCGGAGAAAGCAAGATCTGATGGGTGAAAAAGAAAGAAAGAAAGAAAAGACACCGTCGATGTAAATAATAAGACAGGTCATGAATGGTACTTTAGTGTGTTGATATTGATTTTATCTTGTTGCAAGGCCATTGTCGGTACTTCCAAAGAATCAGCACAATCTTTGACGTACTACAGTACCATAAATTATAGTCGCTTAAGCTTCCTCCCCATTTATCGATATCACAGCAACTTTAACAAGATTACAGATCCGGCATTCAAGTGAAAACTCAATTCGAGATCTCTCAGCTTTGGCTTTAGGTATCGATCTTGCGTAGTAAGGTGTCTTAGGTGACCCAAGGTATTGGATTTCATTGAACAGGTCGAATGACGTTCTACTTAGTAACACTAATACAGTAATATTCCTGAGCCCACATCTTTGTAGCGCAATTCTCGCCATTCGTCCCCAAGACAGGATTCCAAGCATACAATTGGGCCAAGGTGACTCCGTTGGCGCTTGAAAATGTGGTGCAGGTCGCACCTGAAGGCGCCTCAGCGTAGCGAGCACAGTTGGAGTTGATGCCATCTTGCGTCGGACCCGGAGCAGCCACAGTTATGCCGACGCAGTAATACTCATTGGCCCACATCGAAGACGCACAGTTCTCTCCATTGGTACCGAGGACTGTGTTCCATGCGTACAACTGATCAGTTGAAATGCTGTTGCTGCTCGCAAAGTCGCCGCAGACTACTCCGGACGGTGCCTTGGCAAACTTGGAGCAGCTCGAGACGATGCCAGTCTGAGTTGGACCAGGAGCTGTGACTTGCGTAGCAGTTGTAGAGACTGCAGCCGTGGCTGTTGTTGCTTGTGTCGTCGCGACTGCGGACGATGACCCAGATACACCGACACAGTAGTACTCGTCGGCCCACATGGAACCAGCGCAATTCTCTCCGTTGGCTCCCAGCACGCTATTCCAAGCGTAGAGCTGAGCGGTCGTAATGTTGTTGCGAGAGGCAAAGACGGTACAGACATCACCAGAGTTTGCTTTTGCGTACTTGTTGCAGCTGGACGTAATGCCAGTCTGAGTTGGGCCCGGTGCAGTCACGGCGGAAGTCTGAGTTGGCTTCCACGTGCCGATGCAGTAGTACTCACTAGCCCATAAGGCGGTTGAGCACTCAGAACCAGCAGTGCCGAGGACAGGGTTCCATGCATAGAGCTGTGTTGGTGCAATCGAGTTGCGCGTGGCAAACGCCTCACAGCCGTCTCCAGCAGTAGCACTGGCGTAGTTATTACACTGAAAATACCCAAAGTTAGTCTCGTGCGTTCACTTCTGTCATTGTCAATGGTAAGTCTCACGTTGGTGACAAGCCCGTCTTGGGTTGGGCTAGGGGCCGTTCCTCCTGACACAGGGTTGACAATGTCTGTTGCGGTCGTCGTGGCCGAAACGATGCCGCCAGCTCCTCCTCGTTGTTGATTTCCGGCATTGGCTTCTGTGCCCAAGGGCGGCGCAGGCAATGTGTATGTAGCGTTGACTCCAGGAGAACTATCCATTAATATTGGTCAGTCCACTTCACACTTGGCACAAGGCACCTCAAAGTCCTCCTTACCTTATGCATACCCATTGGCCCTCTGTCAGATTGTCACAAAGTCCGAGGATGTACGTGTTCCACTTCTTAAACTGGACAATAGTAGTGTCACCTCCGACAGATGCCGCGATACTCGCACTTTGAAGATGTTCATTAGCACTAAAAGTAACGCAAAGTGGCAAAGATTGGTTAAGAATGCTCACCACGTCTCGTTGCTTCCGACTTTCTGTAATGTGCACCGCTGAGGAAGACACACCGAGCCAGACACAGCGCAGGTATCGCTGTTGGTGAACCATTGAAGCGCGCCGGTGCTCACACCATACTGAGACGATAAGTCATCGCATGTCGATGCCTGCCTAGGATTCAAACCGGGAGTGGACCTTTTGATCCAGTCCAAAGCATGATCCCTCTTTGACGCGGCGGCAGAGCCAAGAGTCTGACCAACGCATGTGGTCGTGGCAGCAGCCGTGGAGGTGGCAGTGGCTACGGCAGTCGTCGAAGATCCCACGTTTACGGAAGACAGGGTCGATGCAGTCTGATAATCCCAAGGCAGTGCAACAGTGAAGTCGGGAACAGTTTTGTTGCAAACGTCCGAGATATCAAAAATCTGGTCTGCGAGATACTCTGAGTAGTCGGTATCCGGCAGGAAGATGGACGAGATGCGAGTGTAGAGCTGGTTGATGAAACAGTCATTGCACAACTTGATGTCATGTCAGTGAGGCGTACGTCGACATCAAAAAAGACCAACTCACAATGTCGTCTTCGTATAGGTTGGCCAGGCGAACGTTCGCCTCGGGGATGTCCGTGGAGTTGCCGCCGCAAGTGGGATCTGAGGGGTTGGCATCACAGTCAACCCGCAACACATCAGCTCCGACCCACTCCTGAGATTCTGTGAGACAGTATGTGTAGTTGTCGGATCTTTAGACAATTAGTATCATTTCGTAGATTCAACCAGGGGTACGAACCGAGAGGGCAAACAGGCAAAGATAAGATTGTCAACAACACGCTCAGTCACCGTCCATATTGGCACAAGCTTCCCATATGCTGTGAAACTTTGCTCGAAGCAGGGGTCAGAGACATTGTAGTTCCACGATCCAACGGCTTCAGCACAGCCTGAGTCGCAGACAGCCGTGAGGTTGTCATCGGTCCACCAGTAGTTTTCCAGGTTCATCGTCATCTGCAGCAATGTCTGGTCACATTCTGGAATAGTTTGATTTCTATCTCATTCATCAGTCTAAGTCAAGCGTAAGAGGTATTAGGCTTAAGGCACCCACAGCGCTGCAATGCAGTCTGATGTGACGTTCAGTGACTTGGCGAGTTTATCGCCATTGATGGCTGGGTAAAGATTAAATGAGTGACATGTTTGAAGAAAACTGAGTGCAATGTACAGAAGCCACAACGAGTGACTCTCCATGATGAGGAAAATTGCCTGGAGCGGCGGGCTCTATGCTGGTAGGGAATGGACGGGCACAAGATTGGTGCTGCGGCTCATCTCATGTGCGAGGCCTTCGGTATATGGACCTTGAACTCATGAACCATGGACCAGAAGAAAAAGACATCGACAGATGATCAGCTGGCTCTAGTCTCTCGTCAATGTTACCGGCATAAAATCCGGCACTAAGGGACCGGAAATTGGTCTGACAGCAGTGATCACAAAATCCAAAGGGAAGTTGCATTAGGCTGCAGGCTGCAGCTTCTAAGAACGGGGCCTGCAAGGAACGCTCTACCCTGGCCATGTGATATTGAAGCCGAGGAGATTGAAGAACTGCACGCGACGGGAGAGCTTTCTGCAGGGTTGAAATCCTTGCCGGAGTCGGATGTCCCGCAACTGAGTCGGCAATCGCATCTTTCTTCCTTCACGCGAGCTGCGACGCGTTTTGATAGGTCTGGCTGCTAGTCTACACTGCAAGGAAAAGGAGTTGTCTCAATCTTTCTTGCCTCCAAGTAAGCACAGCGGCCCGATGCCGTTCAGTAGCCTACGGCACAGCAGTCATCTGGACTCAAAAAGTGGTTCATGTCAGCGGCATTTTCGTGCCGAGGGGAGCCAAGAACGACCAAGAGTAGCCAAGTCTAGGTAAGCTTTTTTGTGACAGGGGCCGGGGGTTATATGACATTCTCCGCCCAACAAGGCTTGAAGGGTCACATCGCCAACTCCATGCAACCAACCTGCTTACTCCCTGCGGCCGCTGGTCTTGAATTTGGGATGGCTTCGGAAGCAGGTGAGATGATAATTCATTCAAAAGAGGGTCATTTGATACCAATCCAAGTCAGGCTGACGAGGAATTCCTGCCAAGTCGGTCGAAGCGGCCGAGACAGTCTGATGATTAGAGCCTGGATCAACATGTTGAGGGTGTCCATGGGTGAGCTTTTAGCAATCTGCAGTCCACAATTCTATCTAGAACAGGCTGTATCCGACGCTACATGTATCCATAGCATCAGCTCAATCTCATTCTGCATCAAATGGCCCGAGTGGAAATGCAACCGTAACCCCTGCAGCCCGGGGTGGATCGGGAGCCAGTAAGCGAGCAAGCTGTCGTTGCCTGTTGCTGTACAACACGCCGGTTCTCGATTATCAAGAGCTAGGCTTGGATGAAGACGATTACCATATTTGTGTCTTGGAAGCTGCCATTCTACTCTGGAAAGAGGTTTACTTCGGAGTCACTCATCATTCCAGACTCCAAAGAGTCGTTCAAGGCCGCGAGGATGTTTCCACTCATTCTTCTTTACGCCTTCATGGCAGCCATTCCTTTCCTCATCTCAGCCGTTCCTTTAGACTCTAACAATCACATCGCGCCTATCACTCCTTACTCAATTCCTTCTCTTGATCACCTTCTTTCCGGACGAGCCCTTCCGACTGGCACATGCAATGCAGACACTCCATGTGAGAATGCGGCTTGCTGTGGTACCAATGGGCTTTGCGGCTACTCTCCAACAGAGTGTGGCAAGGGCAATTGCACATCAAATTGCGATGCCAAAGCTCAATGTGGACAGTACGGCAAAGAAGGCTCTCAGGAATGCCCCTTGAGCGTCTGCTGTTCCGAGTTCGGGTAAGTGATAGAGTTGATGAACCTTCATTATTCCATGTCAAGCATGCATTCGCTGATCAATATGCATCAGATTCTGTGGTTCCACAAGTGATTTCTGTGGAAAAGGCTGCCAAAAAGACTTTGGCGGCTGTGGCAATGTCACAAGGCCATCCTGTTCAGGCAATTCTGTCTCTAAGCGCACAATTGGTTACTATGAGGGATGGTCCAACACCCGCAGTTGCCAAGCAGTTTCGCCTGAGGACCTCAACTTGAACGGATTCTCTCACATCAACTTTGCATTTGCATTCTTCGACCCGCAGACTTTCCAAATTGCTCCCATGGACACTGAGACTGGAAAGCTTTACAGCCGATTCACGGCACTGAAGAAGAACAACGCCGGGTTGGAGGCCTGGATCTCTGTTGGTGGCTGGTCATTCACCGACCCCGGAGCTACCAGGACAGCCTTCAGCGACATGACGAGCACATCTGGCAACAGGCAGAAGTTCATCTCTGGCCTGATTGACTTCATGGAGCACGTAAGACACACCAAAAGCCCAGCCTGAACAGCATCACCGAAGGGATTGTTTCCTGAGACTGACATCTTTTCACCTGCAGTATGGTTTCGACGGTGTTGATCTTGACTGGGAGTACCCTCAAGCCGACGACAGGGGCGGCGTCACAGCAGACAAGAAGAACTACGCTCTTCTTACGAAAGAGCTCAGGGCTGCTTTTGGTGCGTTCTCCATCTCATTCATGACAATTCGGCTTGATTGACCTGTGCCAGGCTCGCGCTACGGAATTTCAATGACGCTGCCGACGTCGTATTGGTATCTCCAACACTTCGACCTTGCATCTATTGCAGCAGATGTTGATTGGTTCAACTTCATGGCTTATGACTGTAAGTCTCACTCAATCTTCAACATAACCACTAAACCCTGGACTGACATCACTTGGAAGTGCACGGAACTTGGGACGCTGCGTCCAAGTTCGTCGGGCCTTACCTTGCACCTCATACTAATGTTACTGAGATCGACATGGGTCTCGATCTCCTATGGAGAGCTGGCGTAAAGCCTGCCAAGGTTATTCTTGGCCTCGGGTGGTACGGACGCAGCTTCACGCTCTCCGACCCCTCTTGCAACAAGCCTAATGGTGTGTGCCAATTCTCTGGCGGTGCCTTGGCAGGGCAGTGTTCGAACGCATCGGGCATCTTGACCCTGCAAGAGATCAACGGAGTCATTGACTACAACGGCGTAAAGCCCGTGTGGGACAAGGATGCCATGGTGAAATGGATTACCTGGGATGACAATCAGTGGGTCTCGTACGACGACGACGACACTTTTGAACAGAAGCGCAAGTTTGCCAACTCCCGCTGCTTGGGAGGCACAATGGTAAGCAATACTTCTGTTCTACCTATAGTAGTTGCTAAGCTAATTCAATGCTTTAGGTCTGGGCCATGGATCAAAGAGACCAGGGAGAGGATAATGGATTGGCTCCCGCTTCCGGTGTCACCACTGGTCAGCAAGAAGACGCCCAGGATATGGCTCAAGGACTTGCCGCCGGAGTTTCATGTTACACGACAGATTGCGGAGCGAGCTGCAAGAAGGGCACCAACCCAGTCACCCAGATGAATGGACAGCCGGGCATGCTCTCAACTAGTGATCGCTGCGACAAGAATAAGTATCGCACGCTCTGTTGTGATGACGGCACAACTATGGGCACTTGCAAGTGGCGTGGTTACCGCGGTCTAGGTCTGTCATGCATGGGTGGCTGTGATGATGAAGAGACCGAGGTCCTCCAGGATACGAATAACCACAGCAAGAATGGCGACCAGACGTGCACTGGCGGTATTCAAAGTTACTGCTGCAAGGGCTTCGAATCAGCTCCGACGAAAGAAGAGCTTGAGGAGGAAGCTAAAGAAAAGGCCGAGGAGTTGGCCGAAGAAGCGGCTGAGCAAGCAGCTCTCGACATTGCGGCCAAGGCCTTCTGTCGACTCGCTATTCCTGCTCTCTTGGCACCCTTGGAATTGATTGAAGCTGCGATCCCGATCATCGGTATGTTCAGAAACTTTGATCCCTTTTTCACATTGCCCTTGCCTGTCATATGCTAACCCAAATGATTCTAGGCGAGATTCTGGATATCGCCGAGATCGCCGCGACACCAGCCCTGATTCAACTTTGCACCGATGGCATTGAGAAAGAAGGCAAAGCTGTGTTCAAGGTTTTCGGCAAGGAACACTCCGTTTCATTCAATAAGCCATCCAAGACGGTGTCACGGCCGCCCAAGTCTACTCATGTATGTTGCTTTTCCCATCTTCTTCTGGTCTCACATGCAGCCAAATGCTAACATTTACAAGTCACCGGCAAAGACCTCTTCGTGTCCTTCAAATGCCAAGCGTGCGGATGATGGGAGACCCTGCAAGAGACAAAAGCGCTACATGACGTCTCATCGAACCAGTGAAATTGTAGTCTCGACAAGCAAGCTTCCAGGCAACGGCTACAAGATTCCTTGCAATGGTAATGGGGGCGTCTATCCGGAGGCTTGCAAGAATTACAAGTCCATTGTGGACAATTACCCCAAGTACAAGACCATTACCTGCCCTTACCGCAAGATCGACGACAAGAAACGTCCCATCACGGGAGTCTTCAACCAACAGCGGTCGACAGCCCTCTGGGATCCCGTCATCAATGCGCCTAACGGATGCTCCCCAGACGAATACCCGCCAGCGGTCATGGCACCTGTGAACGATGGGTACAGCTTGCTCACTTCCATGATCAAGGATGGTGATACAGAGGTACGGAGATTACTCAGCGCGAAGCCACCTTCGGTAGATGGACAAATGGTCCGTTACCTCGACCTGGTCGACAACCGAGAAGCCGGAAAGATCTTCGACAAGTGCCGTCAGCCACCTGTGGCCAGTGATATGCATACTACCGTCACCGTCATCAACCCAGATGCCCGAGTGCCCATTGAGTGGCATCTGACAAAGGTGGCACTTTCACGTCTCGTTTGGGAGCTCGACTTTGATGGTCTCCCTGATAACTCCAACGACTACGGCATCGCGGACAATGTCTGTGTGCCGACAATCAACGGAGTGAAGCACCCCGGCTACGCACTCCTCAATGAGGATGTCTACTTTGACTCGCACGCCGCAGAGGCGGCTCTGAGGGACACCTGGCCCAATGGTCCGGCGCAGAAGCGTTGGGTCGAGCCAGCAGGCTTGGTGGTGGAAGGTATCAACTCTACCAGGGTAGCAACTCCAGAGGAGCTGCGCGATCACCTCGGCTTCGATGAGTGCACGGATAGTAGTTGCTCGCGAGAGATTGAGAAGCTGAAGGATGTCGCTAGAACGTTCAGGGACAGGGCCGAGAAGGCCGCCAACTCGCCCGCTGAAGCGCCGGCACCTGAGCCAACGCCTGTCCATGAACACAGCACCGTCCAAGCCCTTCCTCCAAGCCAACCTGGACGGTCGTTTGACTCTGATATTCCTATGTATACTGGTATCTAATATGTTCAGATCTTGACTGTAGATTCTAACAAGAATTCACAAACTCTGATGATGTTCTTACCTCTACTTGTGACGTGCCTGCGCCGCTTGATTGATCCTTACACTAAATGCCTGCCTTCTTCAACCATTCCGCTAGTTTCTTGCGGCACTCCTCGCCCTTGTAGTCTTCCGGCCATCTGTTTTGGACCATAATCTCCTGGAGTGCCTTGAGGAAAAGTCAGTCGGTCCCATCGAAACTATGTACGAGGCAGCTTACCTTTGTTTCCTCAGTCCAGTGGCCTTGTGACAGGACACCGGGGTCGTCATGACGGGGAAGGCCAAAGTACTGAAACGTCATGTACTTGTTGATGATTCCTTCTAGCCACGCCTCCAGTGTGAGAGTGATATCATCGCACATTGTCTCCCTCCACATCCTAGGGTCGCCCTTTTCGTATCTCCCCGCTGGTTCGGGGTAAACAGCGCCCGTAATGATGTACTTAGTCACCGTGCCATCCATCGTGTCTAGTAACCATATGTCGCCGTCCCTGTTGACACTCATGGTGAGGGGAATCACCCAAGCTGGAAAGCCTTCAAATGACTGAAGGTCGTGGGACAAAGCATGAAGCCATTTGGGCTTGAACACTCCAACGGTTGGTATCAAAGACACGGCGGTAAGGTAGTTGATGGGGAACGTTTCCGGAGTGATCCAAAGAGGGTTGCCATCAATGTAGGGCAGATGCTTGATCAAGTCTACCACTCGCTCGTTCAGATGTTTCATTCCAGAAGCCGCGAGCGACTCGGGGGTGATCTCTGGCCAACCCCCGGACGGCGCGCGACTAACTAGAGAGGGGTCGATGTGCGGCAGACTCTGGTAGAAAGTCGCAAGAGAGGCGATAATGTTGTCGCGGGAATATCGAGGCTGTTGGCCCGGAAGGCGTGGGTCTGGCGGGAGATCTTTGGGGTCCGGAATAGTCTCCATCTTGGCATTCGTCTTGGCATTCGGGTAATGGACGATGTAGAGAAGTCATCGGGGGGGGGGGGGGGGGAGTCTTTTGCTCACTCAAGGAACCCCGCGCATCCTGCAGCTTAGTAAGCCTCCAGGATGAGGATCAAAATATCTCCCCCTGACCTCCTGTTTACGGACATGCTGTTGCTTAGGTAATGTGAGAATACACCTGCATTCGAGCGTGAACAAGAAACGGTCTTTTTTTTTTCCAAATTAATACCTTATCTGCAGCGAAGTCATGGCCACAAACAAGATGAATACTCGGGATACTTCCCCGGCACGCCGTAAATCTGACTCAAATCATCACTGAGCATCTGCGGCCCCTTCAAGAACGAGTCTTTCTCCTTGGGAATCTCTTTGGAAAAGAGATGCCTCTTCAGTGCGACGTTCCAAGCAAAACTCGAGTGTCCCACGCCTCCAAACTGCGCCGCTCCCAACATGACCAGGAAGTCAATCATGCCCTTCTGATCCCACGTCAACGCATCTAGTCTTTTGCGGTTCTTCCCCGTCAGCAGGTCCTGCTTCGTCACAACCCGTACCCCGCGCGGCATCGCGTCCGCCTCAAGCATTGCCACCTGTGTCTCGTTCCCGGACGCGACGTACATGACCGACAAACCCGCCCGACTCGCCTGGTCAAAGAACGCGTTGGTCTGCTTGCTGTACTCGGACCACTCCCACGTCGGGTCCGCCGGGTTCCAGTTATCGAGAGCGTCCTTCTCGGTGCGCAGGTGTGCGCCGAAGAAATGCTTGTTGATGCTGAGGATCGTGGCGCTCGCGAGCTGCCGGACATCCGCGCGGAACTCGAGGATGGTGCCAAAGGTCATCGCGAAGACCTCGCCGTCGCTGTGGATAGGGTACGTGAGGTACGACCGGCCGAGGTCTACCATCATGGGGCCCTCTGTGAGACGCCCGGTCGGCGCGGCGTCAGTGGTGTTGTTGATGTCTTCGAGCCATTGGTATAGCTGCGACCGCCACTTTTGCGGGCGCTCGATGCCCGTGCTGGCGATGTGCTCCTCATCGACGAGGGATTCTGGGAAGAGGCCGAGAGACCATGTTCGTGCTGGTCCAAGGGATTCGTAGACCTCGTCGGTGTCGTTGTAGAGCCGCAGCTGCGGGCACGAGAGGTGCAGTGAGTCGATGAAGTGTTGCCTGTCGAAGAGGTACTCCATCTCCTGCCGCCGCCCCGTCCGGATGTGAGAGATGTCCGAGTCGTTGCGCTTGAAGATACGCGGCATGACTAAAGAGCCCCCAGCCAGCATCGTGTATCGCACGCAGTTCAAGATCGAGTTGCGGATGTTCCCAATCCCGCCGACGTTGTTGTCGCATGTAAACACAACTTGCATCGCTTTCCCTGCATCCCACTCTGTCCTGTCGCAAACCCCCCGGATGACGTCCGAATTGACCGGCTCGAAGTCAAAGATGTCCTGGTGGGCTAGCCGCGGAATCCATGGCACAATGCTCGAATCCTTGCCAACGCGGTCGAGGCCCAGCTGCTCACGGAACACCCACAGGAACATGAAAAAGACGCTCACTACAGCCGCGTTGGTGAAGCGGCTGGAGCGCCGTGTTGGGTACCCTCCGATGATGCCCATGATGTGGTTATTGTGGGTAGACCTGCGATTCAAGCGGCCTCTAGAAAGGATCCTCCCCATGGGGAAAGAGAAAAGGCTTTGGGTGAGGTTTTGAGAGGTTTCCTCCGAGGGAGTGTTCATCCCTTGTATGCCAACGCTGCGTTCCAGAGCATCGACCGAGGGGTACGGCTCACCCCTTTCATGATTAGAAAAGACGCGTTTGCTGGTAACTTATCGCGTTTGTCTCAATGAACATACATGGTTAGCTTAGTTGTCGCTGTTGTAGATCCCACCGCCGTCACATCGATAGTTCAGTCCCAAGCGGAAGCTAAATCAAGCCGCTCGGATACTGCGGAATTCGGAGCCGGATAGTCCTTCGAAGAATTTCAGACGAGCGAAGCAACAAAATCATTGCTCATTGTTGAGCTTTTTCGGAAAGTTTTCTTTCTGGAATGTTGAGAGCAGGCAGGTGTAGTCACCGGCATGTCACCCCTTGCAGGGGAACGGTCGCATTTCATCCCTTTGGTCCTACCTCACAGATGCTGTGAGACTGATCGCATCTGATTCAGGCTCAGTATTGCAAGGAAACTTGGCCATGCTAAACCCAGACATGCGCTTTCACTTCCAGAGGGAAAGCGGCAGGCATCATGGTCGTACAAAATTGATATATTCATTCTCACTTACACAATGCCTTCAGCTTCACAAACATCGAGACCAGGTGACGAAATCGTCGCATACAAGCCTCAGGATACATCCCTGCCAGCACACATGAACAACATCCTTTATTTCGACGGAAAAGCTGTACTCGTCCATCAATCTACAAACAGTAATTGAGTTGAGACCTTGGAAACATTCGGGGCATGACGTCTTCTCATGCTTGCGGTGGTCAGATCCAGGCTTCCTACCTAGTTCTCTACAGGTTCGACTACACCACTCCTTCTTCAGCCTCAGGACTCCGTTGCACCTCGAATAAATGCTAGATCAGATTGATTGACAACGCAGTAATGCTAGCTCATAGTCCTTTCGGAATGAGCATATGAAGGGGCGCTATGACCTGATTGACGAGCTTTTGGGCAATTTACAAGGCAATGGTGAGTGATTCTATGATCATTCAATGCTGATAAGTCAGTAGTACTGATATTCGATTGGCTGATATGTTTCATGAATTTCTCAGGGGAAAGACGTCGAAGGCATCGAAAACTGGCTTTTCTCCCCTATATTTGCCGTCAGTCAGTCAGAGAATGTCTTCATCAGCCAAAGACATGATGTGATATACTAATTGCTTAAGTAGTATTTACCAATATGGCACTCCACGTTCACAAGACGGAAGCCCACTGAAACGAGCAATCGAGCGACTGCCTGCTTCTATTGACTCGTTTCGGTCTTTCATGATGCCGCCTGTGGCTGTGTGCTCAGGCCTCGATCACGTTGCAAACGCCGATGCTGACTCGAGAATCAGAGTGGAGACTTTTATGAACCGGAGCTGCTTCACAAACACAATGAAAGAGTCGGAAAGTTAGGATCTTCACCGCGACGATAGTTGCAGCCAGTCGGTCCCTTGTGCATGTGGCACCACTGCGGTCAGGTCTTCTGGTCTGGTGTTCGTCTTGGGCCCTCTCGGCGGAGGAAGCGTCTTTGATGCATTGCACCTTGCCTAGGTTTCAAAAGCGACCGTCGCGAAGCCAACCCATATACTGCGAGTGACAAGCGCGCGTGAGTAACTTTCGGGACGCCCTTTTGGGTTTTGCTCTGTGTTATTCTAAAAATGTGAATATACGTCGATGTTGGTGATATGATCTTCATGCATGTTGCAGATACCCCACGATGGAACTTGGGTCGCTTTAGTGCCATATGCATGCAGCTTTGTTCACTAGTTACCTTCGGTGAGGTAGGATTTCTCTACGGTCTCGATATAGGTGCGAGCACCGCCTATCGGAATCAATTTGATGCCAGTTTCCCGCACTTTTTGTCATCACCTCAGATTAGTCAACAGGTGTCAAGAAAGATATAGATGACTTAGTCCAGGAACATCTGCTTCGGTATCCACTCCCGAAACCTAGAAACCATGCGCTACAGCGGGCCTCGCTCGGCACTGTGCCGATGGGTTGAGGATCGTCACCAGGGGACTCCATTCTTTAAAGCTTCCAGAATCGAGCTGATGCTTCGTCTGTTGCACTTCAGATCGTTCGAATAGTCAATCTTGCAGGATTGAAGTATAGGATCGGAGACTATTGCAACACAGTTTTGAAAGATTGAAGGGGTCGATGTTCTTTAAAGATTATCGTTCCCTTCGAGGCAGGACTAGAATGACACTGAGTATTCGAAAGCCAAGTTATCCCGTCGGCTTTACAAATAGGGCATTATGAGTAAAACGCTCACTAACCCATTGGTCATTCCCTAATCCGACTGCGACTTCCCAGTTCTGGTCATTGCCAACGGTATTTAGCAGGGATCAACAAGGGTCTATAGTAATAGAGTTTCTTAGCATCGAGGCACATGGCGCAGTTTGGATGAACTCCTATCAGTGTTGCAACCTGCTATTTCTCCTACCAAGAGCCATTTAATCTATCTGATTATCGGCAATTCTTTCGTCTGCAGTCCGCCTCGTCTATAAGATCATTCTGATCGACACCTTCAAAAGCATCACGTTACACGACTATCACACGGAGAAACACAACACGTCAAGAATTCTCGACCCACAAGAACACAACACAATGCGGACATCTTCGTTACTCGCTCTCGGCGTCAGCGCCCTCGCCTGGACAACAAGTGCCCTCGCCCCGCGTCAAGGCTCCGCGCCGTACTGCCCTCCTCGTCCAGCAACACCAGAACAGCAAAAGGTGATTCTCGGAGAATTCATGCAAGCCTTCTACGAAGAACGAAACGCAACCAAGGCCCTCTTGAATCACGTCGCCGAGGACTACATCCAGCACAACCCTGGCGCTCTCTCTGGCCGCGCGAACTCCCTTGCCGTCCTCGAGCCTTTCATCTCTCCGAACACCGTCAACTACACCATCATGAACAAGAACTTCCAGGATAACATCGCCTTCATTCACTACCGCATGGATCTCGTGGGCGGAGGGCAGCCATTCGCTGTGGTGGACGTTTTCAGATTCAACGGGACTTGCGTCATGGAGCATTGGGATGTGGCGCAGCAGCGAACTGCCAACTCAACGAATCCGATTGCTTTGTTTTAGAACACGAGGGAGTTGCTACGGTCATGACAGTCGGCATATAGAGAATATCCAACACCAAATTTGGCTTACGCATTTGCGATGAAGCTCCTCGACTCGCTCGCGCTCGAATGATACCGTGCGTTTTAGAGGGGCCAAGTGGTTGCACTGCGCGTAAACTCGTGATACCTAGTTCGACCTCGTTGGACAGTTGTCTCGCTCTTTGCCGTTTCCTCGTTTAAACCACGATTTAGAGGTTCCTACGGGCCAATTGATATCGAACAGGTATTATTATTACTCGTAACATGCAATCCTTCAAGGAACTCGTCCGCCAAGGCGAGGCCCCAGAGCCGAAAGGTGGGGAGAGCCGTGAACGTCTCGGTCTCCGTGCCGGCTTGATTGCCGGAAGAGGAAGGTGGGAACGGAGGGACAGCAGATGAATGGACATGTATGCTTGCTCCGAGTCCCGAGCTGCTGCCGGAGTGTCTTGCTATTTCATGCATGCGAGAGTGTGTGGTTTGCAAATCAGACATCCAGTCATATAGGGCAAGTAATAGGCATATGTGACTCAATGTCTTTATGAATCAAGCCTTGTTCAATTGAGTATAGTAATATGAAACTAGACCAGAAGGCCTTGATGGTGAAATTATTTTAGTCAACCAGACATCAATCGCGTATTTTCCCATACCACCCTTAGCTACCCACAGCGCTCTATAATTCATTTCCAACAAGCACGTGTTTTGTAAAGCTTTGCAATTCGCCCCTTGGTGGAGTCTCTGCTTCTCCCGGTGAGACTCTGAGCTCCAATGACAGTCGTGCTGTTGACGTCGAAACAGTTCGTCGTGATGCTACCAGCACAGAGATCGTAAAGTTTCCTCTTTGTGAGATCGCAGTATCTCCCGTCTACAAACGAGACGATGTCATATCCAACTGAGTTGGGGTGTTCGCAAATCTCCCGGGCTGTCTGGCCCGGTATCTCAGTCAAAACCAGGTAGTCAGGATCCATATTCGAGCCTTGTCTCTTGCTCGAGCGTGTCGAACGGGTTCTCCTCCTTCTTCGGTACTCCTTTTCCGATTCACCCTGCTGTATGTATACATCCTTGTTGTACTTGAAGCGATCGAGGGCTTCGATAGGATTTTCGTTTGTGCCTTCTAATTTCGGATTGACGGAGTCCTTATTGTACTTCAAAACTGGGTAGAAGAATGGGACAACTCCGTCTGGGATGAGGTGCCTCCAGAAAGAGTATCGAGGTGTGCTTTTACACAGGTAAGACAGCTCGCTATTGTACAATTTCAACTTGTCGGGCGAAGGCAGCATGTCTCTGAGGTGAAAACTCATAGCCCTGGCGTTGAAGTTGGGATGGGAGTGATCTGAGTCCAACCAGACACACTCGGTCATAAGACTATCACCTTTAAATTTTCGCTGGCTGTGATACCATGCTTGGCCGCATTTGTATCCGGTATCGCCGTAGACCGTTCCGCTGAGTCGGCCATTGGAGACTTGAATCATTGCTATGCAGGTCGCGTCGGTATCGTGGCTCAACATGACATATTGCGGATCGGATATCTCCCCGTTGTTCTCATTGTTCGGTACTCTGACGGTCCGCTCGCTGCTCTGTCCTATCTTGTCACCTAGCTTGGTGCGGTATCGGCCGATTCTGTTGCCATTGTCGTCCCAGATGGCAACATCGGGAAAGGCACCGCCAGCATCCCTGAGATCGCCTCCCGCTCCCGTCACCACGGTCACCCAAGTCTCAGCGATGGGTTTCTCGGGGATAGCTTCCTTGATGATGAAGGCTGCGGGCATAAAGGTTCCGACAGTATTCAGTGTGAATCCTAGGTGGCTGTTCACCCACGTTGTCAGCAGTGCCATGGCGATCCCTTGGGCCGGTCAGGGTCGGAAGCTTGATGTTGAGTTGTACCAATAGCTCGGAAAGCTTGACAACAACCAATGAGCTCAAATGCTTTAGGATGAGGCCGGAGTTTTAGTACTCGCAGTCTTGCAGCACCACTCGGTCTTGGAGACACTCGTCAAGCATTGGTCTGTTCGATGAGAACTTCGAGTCCACGAGGATTGGTCATGCTGAAAGATCTTTCATGTTCCATCAAAGAGAGTTACGTATCATTAAGAATTCCAAGACACAAGCTTCTCGTTACGCAACGGATATTGTATTACATGGTAGGAGAAATCTTTCCTGCAATCGGTTTGGCGGTCACATTGAACAGTGTGCACATAATACTAATTTTCAAGAAAGATGTATGTCGATCCGCTTCAATGAAAATCACATCGTGTAACACTCGAGACACTTTTTGTTAAAGGCAGGGGGCCTCACCCTCCCTCATATATTATTAGAGTGTGTTGAGCCTTTATCTACGTGATGCAGGGCCGTGCTAAGATACTCGTACACATTTTCTTTCAGTTAGGTGCATTTATCCACTTCAATTCGAGATCAAAGACGAAACGGGCTCTTACTGATGAGCCTTGCTTGCTACGATGAGTAACAAAGACACATTGGAGATTGACCTCAATTGAGACAAATGTGCAGAACGAATATTGATTAAATTAAATATGTGATAGAAATCCCCCACTCTAGATGCCATGACCTTTAAATGTACAGTATTAACGAATGAAGTGACCAACAATCCGGACTATGCAGAGTCTACAACCGACACCATACTTTAGATCAATGAGTGAATGACAGGCGAATCGGTCGGAGACCCTGCTTATTTGGAGCAGAAGGACCAAGAGCTCTCAATGCTCCAGGAGAAGCCAGCGGAGAATGAAGGAGTGTAAGAAGCAGCAGAAGGGTTGTACTGCTGAGTGAAGAGACTGCAGTAGGTACCCTTGGCAATGCCGTTCTGCTTGACCATGAAAGCGTTGAAGAAGTTGCACTTCAGAGGGCTGTAGCCGAGGAAGCTGGCCCAGGAGCTGAGGCCGACAGACTTGGAGTTCTGGACGTTCTGGGCAGCGGCGTAGGTAGCGCAGAGGCTGGCATCGAAGGGACCAGGGAAGAACTTCTGTCCCATGCAGGTGCTGGGGTGAGAGTGGACAACACCGCCGCAGCCCTGAGGGTTGGTCCAGCCGGAGGGAGTGGTGGGAGTGGTGGTGTTGGTCTTCTCGTAGCCGTTGGAGCCGGTGATCACAACCTGGAAGCCATCACGAGTCTGGCCAGTGTTGACGGCAGCAGCCTTGTCGACACCGGATCCCCAGAGAGTGCACTTGTAGTTGGAAATGGAGGCAGGGTTGGTGCAAGAGCAGCCGGAGGGGTTGATGGAGGGGTCACGCTCGACGTAGATGTTGATACCGGTGCAAAGGTTGGTGGCGTCACACTTGGCAGCGCAGGCGGCAACGTCATAGCTCTTGAGGGTGTAGAGGCCGAGGTAGCTGTTGGCGTTGACAGCAGCGCTCAGGTCCTTGAAGGTGTTGGCATAACCGGAAGGGTTGGCGGCCGACTGAGCCTCCTTGTGGAACTGGGCGAAGGACTGGAAGGCATCGACGGTGTCGGGCTGGACCTGGGTACCATATCCATCGGGCTGAACAGCGCAAGGGTCTTCAGGGTTGATGAATCCGCAGTAAGTGCCAACCTCGAAAGGCTCAGCGCAACCAGAAGCGGTGGTGAACGCGAAGGTATTGGTCCAGCTGACCGGGGTGCAGGTGGAAGGCGCGGTAGGAGCAGTGGTGATGGTAGCAGCAGACGCAGTGGTCACGGCCGCAGTTGTGACAGGGGCTGTAGTCTTGGGAGTGGTGGCGGCAGCCGGGGTGGTCGAAGTAGTGCAGATCGAAGTAGTCTTGGCGGACGAAGTGGTCGAGGAAGATCCCCAGCAGAAGCCGAAGAAGCAGAAAGTGCGCTTGTCGAGGCCACGAGCCGCGACGGACTGAGTGGCACTGGCAGAGGCGACGCCGGTAACAGCGGCGGCGGCAGACGAAGATGCAGCAGCCGCGTTGTAGACGCCAGTCTGACCAGTGGCAAGGACAGGAGGTCCAGTCAGGGTGGGTGCAGCAGCACCCATGATGGCATCGAAGTCCATGGGCGCAGTGGTGGTGGGCGCGGCCGACGCGAGAGCCGCGAGGGCGATGATGTTCAAGGAGTAACGCATGTTGCTGATTCGAGGCTCGCGTTGAGCTGGAAGTAGATGGTTTGAATGAATGTTGTTGAAGGAGATACTCTAGCTGGGAAGAGAATGTGATACTCAAGGTGAGAAGTGATCGAAGCTGCTGGGATGAAGAGAGAATAATCAAATGAACCTGGAGATGAGTGCTGGTTATATACCGTTGTTGTTGCGGTCATATGTGGCGGCGTATTTTGACATCGCGGGTTTAGACCACATTGAGCTGACATTTCTTCTTTGGAGCGTATTACGGCACCCGATGGCCGACTGGCGCCTCGTACAAGCACTGAGCACCTCCCAGAAGTGTGGTCCATCGTATACGTAGTTCAGGTTGCCAGAGGTCAGAGCTCTTAGTGAACGGTGAGGCCGATCTCCGTGCAGTCGTCTTCGTAGTGTCGGCAACTTGGTCGGAGTCGAGAAAGGCCAGTGTAAGTGAGGTCCACATCGTCACTCTCCTGAAGCACCGTTCCGCTTACTGCTTTCGCGATTCGCGAGTAACGGCAGTCTGGGGCAGCGGGTATGTCGATCCCACAAAGAAAGTGGAATGTTTCAAGAAGTGCTCTATTGGGATTTGGAAACTTTTCCTTTGTTGCCCTATCCCTGATTCAATGGTCGAACCAACAATAAAGCGGCTCTAAATGGATGGCTTTGTCCTAATTAGTCCTGAAAACGCCAGAGCGGGTAAATCGGGATCTCCTGTAGCGCTTTGATCCTTGTTCCTGTAAGCTAGGCCTAGTCTAGGTCGACCGAGCATGATATGGCCCCATTAGCTAGCCGTTAGACAGACGCTGCATCGATTAGCAACTTTCAGGTGAGCTGAGGTTCTATGAGGAGAATGGCCGATTGAGTGCTAAGGTGGGAATCATCAGATCAACCGCGAGGGAAGGTGGAGTTACTTGAGAGTCTCGCCTGCTCTACCTAAACGGTGCAGATACGATTATGCACACATCCACTTCTTGACGATGAGACCTCGTGTAACTCTGACCGGTCAAGGCCATAAACCGCACTCAAAAGCCTAAAACGGCTTTTTGCAGCCACCTACTTCGCGCGTTACTGAGCTTAAGGTCATGTGTTGGGCTTGCGGCCGCAACTTGGAGGTCTATGTCTGTTGTTTGCCCGCGTGTAAGTGACAACATGTAAACATTGTTTGTGCAGAATCCGAGGTATTGGCATCCGTGCCAAGCTTGTCAGCGTGCACGGCGAGCTGGCTGCCGATGGCGCCCAACGAAGCCAAGAGTCGGGGTCTTCTTGTGGCTTTGATGCTCGACGGGCCGTCGTCGTCCCAGTGATGAACACGCGTCAGCGACCGTGCAACAGACGCCCTCGGAAATCGGGATGACGACTCGGATTCAATGGTCTGTGAAAGCTGCCACAATGGTAGCTGATTTCTTTCATCGAGTAAGGTAGCTTGGCCAGCTGTGCTGATGTTGACCGAAGCTAGACCAGAATCATCGTAGGTGCATGGCAAGCCACCACGCTATCTATATTTTTGGCAATTTTGGTCAGGTACCATTGCTAGTTTTTTCCTTTTTCTTCGGTGCAGTGTAACAATGACCGTATGGTCCGACCAGGCTTCGCCAGATCTTTTGAGAACCAATTTACGCTACTGGTTCCTGCAGTAGTCCAGAGGCAAATGCACATTAACAAGTTCAAGCTTCGATCTGCTGCATCATGCATGCTGCTGGTTGGATGGCCTACCAGCCCCTTTGTTTCCGCAGACCGATCCCCTTTATTAGGTAACGCCAAACCTCAATTATGTTTTCCGATGGCAGCAATTACGATGGACCTGACTCATCGGCTCACTTATCATCTTAACAACTCTGTTTGTGAGGATGAGTGACTTCTCTCGATGCCTTTCCTCTAGGTAGGTCGGGGTTGACAATGGCTGGTCCTAGCCTTGGAAGCATCACACTAGGATTCTGTCATTACATCGCGTGAGGCTAGATTTCCACAGCGTCGTGCCACTGTCAGACTATTCCAGCTGTCAAGTTGGTTCGACTTAAAGACCTTGCCATGCTTGGACGTGTCGCGGAACTTACCACCACTGTCACAACTGCACGACAATCCCAGTGGCCTAGTTACGACAGTGACAAATATTTTCAAGCGTATTTCCTCTACTAGGTAAGGTAGTTCTTGGATGCCAGGTCGGCCCGAAAACCTAGCACCAAACCCTGCGTAAAGTTGCAAACTGAAGACATAAAACCAATGGCGGTGATGCGAAGGGAAATAGGAGTTCGTCATGGAACCTCAAGGAGTTATCATTTTTCCCCAGTGAATAGAAAAGCTCTTGTTTCGTCTCATTGCAGAATGCTCGCTCCGATTACTATTTTCTTCCCCCCTGACAGCAGATAGATAGCCAATTGCTACAAAAAGCAACCTTATCTTACCCCTGGGCTCCTCTCTTCGACCAATTCGAGCCTTTGGTGGAATTCGCCAGCTCGAGGGCGAAGTCCGTTGGCAGAATATACATCACGCAGCGACTTTGTCCAATTATCGTCTGTGATATCATCATACCAACTCCAACGATTCCATAAGTCAGTCGCAACTGCCTCGGCATGAGGGATTAAGAAGAGAAATGGAAGAAGTGAAAAGGCTTCAATGGATGCACTGCTGATGATCCTCAAATCTCGGTCTGTGCTAGAGGTTCTATGAGCCTCGGCATGGACTGGGCGTCAGAGATGTTTTTGAGTCTTACATTTTCGCGACGACTCGTTGGTACATTGTTTCTTGATCAAAATGACAAAATACTTCAGGGCTTATGTG